CCCTGGTGCAGCTTGGTGACTAACAAGAGCTGGAGGACCACCCTATTCAGGGGCTGCCCTTTGCACTTTAACAAGGCAGTGGATGGGCCTAGAAAGAGAGCAAAGGAGAATGGGGAGGAGGCTGTGCCCCAAGGCCTCAGGAAGTTTTCCTTTATCCCTTGAGGGTCTGACCATTTTGGGGGAGGGTCAGCAGCTGGAGTGAGATGTGGGAGGGGGAGGCAGTATCAGAGGCAGCCCTTGATTTCCACCAAGGATGAATCAGACCTTAGCTTAACCCCATGAGACAGCTGACATTGGCTGAAGAATTAAGAGGGCAAGCAGGAAGCAGCAGATGTAGGCAAAGGGAAGGGAAGGGACTGCAGAAGGAAAGCCAAGGCCTTTGGCTGTCCACGTATCCAAGAGGATGCCTTGAGGGAGTAGCAAGAAGAGAAGGCTGGGGTCCAAGGGATGGGGGATAATGCGGACCCTCCCCCTTCCTCTACCCTTTTTCCCTCCCCCAGTCAGTGGGAGGCTAGCAGCCCAGGCACTGAACTCTACTTGCTTTAATTACAGCCTCTAGCAAAAGGAAACCTCAATTAGAGGAAAAGATCTGTACCAGGAGAGGGGAGTTGGGTCTGGCTGGAGCGGCTGCTGTCCTCCTGGCCTTTTGCAAAAAGGAAAGAGGCTTTCATTTCCCCGTCTCATATCTCGCTCTCATATTTCCTCCCCTAGCACCCACTCTGTGCCTTCTCCTCCTAGGCTTGATCTGGGATTTGCTGTGTGACCTTGGGCAGGTGACTTCACCTCTCTGAGCCCATCTTCTGAGCTACCAAATGAGGATCTTACCATGCAAGGAATGGAATGTAGAGGAGAGGCTAGTGGGGCAAAGTGCCAGGCATACAGCTGGTGCTTAATATTTGCAGGCTGGTCCACTGAGAATCTGGTGGTTGAATGGGGGTGCGGTGGCATCCAGCTGGGGTTATAGATGGAAAGTTGTCCCCTGCACAGGGAGCAGATTTAAGATAAAGCCTGGAATAGGCAAGCAGGGAGGGGGTGTCGGAACCCTTGCTCCTGGGTTGTGGTAGTCCCCTGGGGTCTGGTGGGTCCTCCATTGCAGCTCTGTTTCAGGTGGACGATGCCATGCTGATGTTCGACAAAACCACCAACCGGCACCGAGGTGAGCCGTGGCCCCCTCCCCCTTCCCGGGCCGGGCTGGGGGGCCTGTGGTCAGCCAGGGGGCTGCAGGTCACAGCTGCCCTTTCATCTTGCCTCCTGACATCCTATCCCCGAGGATCTGCATCCTCTCCCGGGCCTGGCCTTACAGAAGGCTTTTGTCCCGCCGTTTCCTGTGCTAGAAACTTGCCGAATTGCAGACACCCGAGAGGAGCAGAGGAGCAGACCTCTCCTCCCCCTGCAACTGAGCCCTCCGCCCCCGCCCGGGCCGGTGTCCGCCCAGCCAGTGTCTGCCTGGGTTTACCTTGTCCCTGGTAACCAGAGCTTAGGCTGCCCCAGGGTCAGGCTGACTCCACAGCCACGGGCAGTCTGCTCCCGCCACCGCCTCCTCGCCCCACCCATGGGCTGAGCCCAGCTCCCAGCCCCCTTGCCCCTGAACCTGTGAGCATCTGGGCCACCGTGTGCATATTGCCTGGTTGTTTTTCTCCCAGGGGCCTTGCCTTCTGAGAAATCCCATTCCAGCCCCTGGGGCACACCCAGGAGGAGGCGGGTTGTTTCTCCTGTGCCTTCAGAGCTTTGGGCTTTTTAGCCTGTTT